AGCTGTGCAAAGGCACAGCAATACAAAGGACAACATGTAGTCTCTGTGGTTGATATAAGGCAGAAAAAACTTCTGGTGGCTCTCCAGAGGTCCCAGACAAGCTGCTGGCCTGTCTGCAAATATCCCACGTTCTCTGCTTACAAGCCAGGAAGCCTTAGGCAAATAAGTCACCCTCTCTGTGTGAGTCAATTTCTTCATCAGTAAAATTGGGACATTAGCAGTACTTACCTTATAGAATCATATATATAAATTCATGTTGTATATTATTACAGGCCCTGGCACTAAACACCCCATAACTGTTAACTGGTCTCATCATGGCTACAAGAAAGCTCAGATGACCTAGAAGTCTAGGGCTATTTCCTCAAATGCCTCCCATTCCAAGGAGAGACTAAAGCCTCAAATACTGGATTTCTCACCCTGTCTTGCCCTACTATTTCTCTCAATCTACATTCACCTCTCTCTCTACAACTGCAGCAGAGGCAGGTAAAACCAATATGAGCAAAAGGAACCAAATTTACATTGCACATATATCACACATATATAGTGTGTATATGTTATATATATGTTGATGTTGGGGAAATTGGGAGGGAGGTTTTTCTTTCGAAATTGCATAAATACATTCTCATTGTGAAAATATATAACAAGAAGTATTCAAATTAAATTGTGACTCCTCATTCCCCTCCAATCCAACTCCCTTTCTCAAAATTATTCACTCTTTATGAACAGTCTTCTTTCTATGCACTTATATGCATAGATATTTGGGTTTTGAGAGTTTTTTCCCCAGTGGACCAATCCACTACATATTGATTTGTGATCTTATTTATTAATCAACAAAATGTCTTGGAAGTCTATGTCAGTACATATAAACCTATCCGATTCTTTTCACACTGCTGCATATTATTTTATAGTAATGTATGTACCAGTCTTGTCATTCAGAAAGAGATATGAAATATCACTGCTGTCTTGCCCTTGGGCAAGATTGCAGCTAAATCACTTCAGGTAGATAGCTGGCTTAGGCACAACAGAGTCAGGCATGCCTTATCCCAGCTACTTTTCTAGAGATCCTCTCCCAGGGGCCTGGGTCTGATGGCAGCCTCTGTTTTAACCTGCCTTGTCCTGCACCGCTCCTCCTGCTGAGACTTCTGCTCCTGGGTCCTGTGCTCTCAGGGTGATGAAGTGTCCTGCTGCATCCCTGGTGACAGCCCATGATTACCAGCCTTTAACACATTTGTGAGATAGGTTTTGTTTGTTTGGGGTTTTTCTTGTTGTGGTTCTGCAGTACCAGGGATTGAAATCAGGGCTTTCCCACTGAGCTACATCTCCAGCCCTTTGTACTTTTTTTCCCAGACAAGGTCTTTCTAAGTTGGAAAATTGCCCAGGCTGAGCTGGAACTTAGGGTGCTCTTCCCCCAACCTCCCAGAGTGCTAGGACTACAGGTGTGTGCCACCACGGCCACTTTGTGGGATAGTTTGACTAGAGAACAAATCCTCTCATCTTCTATCTTCCTTCTCTTTCTCAAGCCAATTTGTTTGTTTTATAGATGCTCTACTCTGAAGACCCTAGAAGCCCTCAACTGAAGCCCCTACTTCAGTTGAGGAGAACTGTAAGGACCAGCCAGCAACCCCCCAGGGACAAGCCATATTCCCTGTGGCTTTGACCTCACACCTTGAGCACACTCCAAGAACACACAGATGAGACACTGTGGTGGTGTGGAAAGGGGATATAAAAAACCAAGGGAACACAAGGGTAAGAGTAGATAAGAAAGGAAGGAGAAAGATCAGGGAGGGAGAAGACTGCCAGAACCCAGCAGAAGCAGACTACAGTAGTCGGTTAGGGTGGAGCACACCTGTAATCCTAGCACTTGGGAGGCTGAAGCCGGGGAATTGCTATGAGTTCGAGGCCAGCCTGCGCTGCATAGTGAGTTTAAAGCCAACCTGAACTTCATAGCGAGTCTCTATCTCAAAAAAAATAAAAATAAAAACAGACTACATAGGGACTGAAAGGCAAATCAATGGGGATACTAATGTTCTCCACTGCTGCAGGAATTCCCTGTAAAACCATCTCAACAGATGGGCATATGCTTGCATATATCCGGTGAAAAGGAGATCATTATCTTTCAAGACCACTTGGATTAGTTTGAGTCAGTTTGTGGGTTCTCAAAAAAGAAAAAAGTGTTTTAATGGCTAAGAAAAAGAAATAAATATCCAGGGTATGAACAAAGAAAAGTAGACTAAGAACATCTGTTGGAGTATGGAGGAGGAAGAGGTACAGGCACCAGAGAATATCACTTGTGTAGAATAATATGCCAGTAAAGATGTCCACATCCCAATCCTTGGACACTGAATATGCAAGTTTACATAGCAAAAAGGACTTTGTAGATATGATTAAATTGAAAATATTAGCATGGGGAGGTTATCCTGGCTTGACCGGGTAGACCCAGTGTAATCACAAGCGGGAGGGAGGAGGATGAGAATCAAAGAGATGTAACTGTGGAAGCAGAGGTCTGAGCAGTGTAGACAGGAGGCAAAGGACTTTGGGCAGCTTCCAGAAGCTAGAGAAGACAAGGAAATAGATTCTCCTTTATATCCTCCTGCCTGATTTAAGCTCTGTAAGATCCAGTTTGGACTTCTGACCTTGAAAACTGTAAGAAAAAAAGCTTCTGTTGTTTCAAGCCACTGGGTTTGTTATAGTATGTTATAGCAGCAAAAGGAAACTAATTCAATCAGACACCTGAGAGTCGGGAAGAGCAAGAACAACTTTACTGTGCATACAGATCACATGTAGATCTTATTAAAATTCAGACTATGATTTAGGTTTTGTGCAAGGTCTGAGGGCTTTTTTGCCAGCTCTCAAGTCATACCCATGGTTCTAATACACACTTTCATTAATTGGGCATAATCACTGATACACATGTTAAGTAACATTTCAATTAACACTCAGACACACACTTTAACAATGTATCAATTTAACAGAGACCAGAAGACAATAATAGTGTATAGTTTTTGAAGCTCTTTCACATTCATCATACTTCATTTTATCATCCTCACAACTCCATGATGTAAGTATTATTGTCCCCATAACATACATGAGAAAACCAAAGCTAAATCAGAAAGACTCTTTGCCCAGCCAAAATTGCAGAGATGTGGAACCCAGGTATGCTGACCCCAGAGCTTGTGCTTTTGCTACCAGTCAGTGGTTCTCCACCTCACCCAAGGATCAGAATTGCTTGTTAAGCTACTAAAATTCCAGATGCACAAGTTACACCCAGACTAATTATGTTAGAATCACTTGGTGTGTGACCTAAATATCAGCTATATTTGGAACTGCCAGATGATTGTGATACACGACTTACGTTAAGAACCCACCTGGTCACTTAGCCAGCGGTGGCAGTGGCAGCAGCAAAACTAGCAACTGAAAGCTTGTTAGAAATGCAGATTCATGGGCCCACCAAACTCTACTGAATTTGAAACTCTGGGATGGGGCCCATAAAGCTGGGTTTTAATAAACCCCACAGGTGATACTGATGCTCTTGCAAGTTTGAACATGGGCCATGCATAGAGTCAAAAGCTAGGGAAACAAAAACCCTTCTTAAGTCCAGGTATAAAATTAGGCCAGGTTCTAAACAACTGAAATCAGCCTACTAAAGGCATGTCCCAAAGAATAACTGTTCTCAGGCAGGCAACTAGCATAGTGAGTCCCTACAACCCAGCTTTTCTGAGCCTTTGTGGGAGAGACTTCTGCCAGAGGCCCTCTCAGAATGTCAGAACATCCTGAAATATACTATTTTCCTCCAGCTCTGTACCTTGCTCTCCGCACTATCACTTAAAACACTCATCTCCCCCATTTGTGCTCTCACCTGAACTGAGTAAATAAGCTTCTAACCACTCTTCTCCCTACCGCTCTCTTCTTGGTATCCAAGATGAGAGCAGAAGGCAAAAGGTTAGTTCTAATGCACCTGGGCAAATAAATATATAACCTAAATTGGAGTCACTTCCACAGCTGCCCACCCTCCACTCATCTCACCTGAGTCAGCAATACTGCCACCCTTTGGCCTAACTGGCAGGAGCTCTATCCCTGGAAAATTCCACTGTCAAACACTAAGCATGCACTTTTCTGAGTGAAGCCCACCTCCTCCTCTCCTCAGAGGGAATCTTGGGTCTACAGGATGAAGAAAAACAAGCCTGCCAGCCACTACTCAAGTGACCAGAGACATAGCCCACCATAGTGTGGAAGCAGTTCCCAAGGAGTACAAGCAAGGGATAGCAGCTTGATAGGGAATGGGCTCCCAATTCTTTGCTTAGTCTTTCCTGTCCTTCTTCATCCTCAATTAACTGAGTTCCAAAAGATAAGAAACGAGGGAACAACATACTCTATTTGAGAGAATTGGCATTTGACGTGCTAGAGAGAAAAAGATAAGAAACAGTTTAAACCAGGCATGTGGTGGTATCTGCCTATAATCCCAACACCCTGGGAGGATCAAAAGTTTGAACTCATCCTGGGAAATTTATTTTATTTTTTTTTTGTTAAATTCTTTTATTTGTACATTTTAGGTATGCAACATAATTAGATTTCTCATTGGGAATTGTACCTTTACATAATGCATCTTGGTTCTTATTTTTTCCCCATTCCTAGCCCTCCCTTCACCCC